GGTAGTAAAGTTTACTTACCTGTCGAAAAGAAAGCAGGCAACTTCAGCGTCCCTTTTAAAACCTTTTTCCTTCAGTAGCTCTCTCCACCTGGGAAAGGCTACCCCAGTGTTGACTCTCGTTTTTTGAATTCGCTGGTCACGTTGCCTTTTTGATTCCCTTTTGCACTTTCTTGGCAGCGAGGATTCCATCTCCCGTGATGCTGCATATGCATGATCCTGCATTATGCTCAAAGAGTGGGACTTTGTTGTGCTGCAGTAGTGCTGGCTTTCAAATTTGCCGGGGTAGTAGCGAAGCACCTCTTGCTCCTCTCCTTCGGCTTCTCAGCATGCTGGCCTGGCTCTCAACGAAAACACAGAAGACAGGGCTATTCCCTGGTAGTGCTATATGTCCCTTGCTGGCGGATGTGTTTTCAAGATGGCGAAGCGTTATGGAACCCCCCAAACGACTTACCTGCACAATGTACAAACAAATCCGAAATTCTCCTTTTAAGAGAATAAGTCACATTATTGATGTAGGTAATAATACACCAATGATGACATATTTATGAATGCAGACATCGATTTTTGCCAATAAACAACTGAAAATGCTACATAATGTCCCTTTAAGCTTGTTGGTCAATATTGAGCGGAACAAAGTCAGTAAACCTAACGGATCTCATTCCTTGTGAATAGCAATACACATTGTCTCACTGCCAGAGTGATGATGTCGTGGGATTAATGACTCAGTGAATAAATAAGAGTGGATTAAGTGTTTGTAGAAACAACTTTCATTTTCTAAAGGATATAGTTGTCTAATTTTTGTAACACCACCATAAAAAATCAGCTTATGAAAAGACCTCTTTGCCATTTGTATCAAACACGCTGACAAGAACAAATCTCATCATGTTTTCTCTACAACATGGCTAATACCACAGAGGCAATAAAAGTAGTAACATACTGTTTTGTTAAAGTCCAGTTTTCACTCAGCAGTCATCCTTGAATTGCCTTGTATTGAGGAAGTCAATTCCAGGAACTGTTTGGTTAATCTTGTCAAAGAGATTTTATCATGAGCTGTCTCGTTCAGGAAATGTCAACACATTTTTTTCCCCAGTAAAGGTGTGTATTGTGATCCTGAAACATGATATCATACAGCAAGCTGCCATTCTTTTACTTTTGCATTTTAACAGTGCAAAAACTGTGGTGTTTCACGTAACTGAATCTGTTGTTAGTCAGTTCATTTTGAAGCTGTGTCCGTACTAGTGGGAAGAAAAATCTCCAAAACAAACAAACAAACAAACAGCAATACATTTACCAAACATGTTTTATTATTATTCAGTAGAAATAGAGCAAACTGGGCTTGCATTTGGAGTCCTTTCTGGAAGTTCAGTATTTATTGCCATTTTAGCCCTGGGTGGAGCAAAGAAAAATATCTTTCAGCTACTCAAATGCCAACATACACTCACTGAAAGCTACTTTGCCAGTCACACACTTGGCTCTGTCATTTTGTTTTAGATTGGCATGATATGCTCTGGGTGTGGTTTTATACAAGTTATCATAGTCTGTCCTGAGATTCACAACAATGAGCAGGAAATGGCTCAATAATGGCAGCACCAGAGAATTTTTTCTCACTGGAAATAGTTCAGGGCTTAACTATTTATTGGTGGAGCTATGGAATTTGTAGTATATACAAAACAAGGTTAGCTGGGGACATGTGGCATTCTATTTTATCAATCAGCAAACGCTTCAATTTTTTTAAAAATTGAAATTATGATCTGACTTGTAGATAGGAGCCAAGGGCAACTCTGGAAAACTCCTAAAACAGAATAAGAGAGAAACTGTAGAGCTCACTTCTCAACAAACATATAACACAAAGAGATGATACAAAGAAAAAAAAGTTACTTATTTAGTGACAGAATATTTTAGCTCTGAAGTTCACCTTACTATTTCTGATTTTTTTTCCCAGGGGTACTAATTAATCAGAGGACCCCATTTCTGAGGAGCTACTGAACACAGATGATTTCTACACGATCTCCTCTGCACCTCCTCTTGACTCTGTTTTCAGACTTTAGAAAATCTAGCCCGTGATGGGAATCTTTGTCCAATCACAGGTCATTTGAGAGAGAGGGCGTTCCTGTTGGCTGTTCTACAAATGGAGATAGGTGTGCACGTTACTTCAGATTCAATGGAATCCTGCAGAGAAAGTTACTATTCCTGTACTGGCAACTACTACCTACACTGCAAAGCAACCCAAACAAGGAAATGGACTTATCAAAAAGAGAGTTCAAGAGTCTAACAAAAAAATGTTATAAAACAGATGTACACTGGGGAAGTGTTTCAGACAGAGAGAGAAAAAATGTTGTTAATAGTTTAGTCTTTTGCTAACTGGAGCTAAAGGCTCATCGATGTGCCTTCAAGTTCATGTTTATGAAGCTAACTTTATCCAGAGCCTTGAATCAGAGTGTGTCTTTCACCTCACTCTCCACCACTACAGACCACTTTACCAGGAGGGACAGCAACCCTGGAGCTGTACCCCCCGTAAGCAGCCACAGTAACCCAAATCCAGCCAGAATAAACCCCAGTTCTGGCCTCACCTTCCCAAAAGATCAGCAAACTTTCTGTTGCTGCTGTTACACAGGTTAAATCCAGTTCCGCTGCTGGCCACCAGCCTGCTGTGACACTCAGTGCTGGGAGGTTTGCTGGCTAGCTAAGCAATCCAAATCAGTGGGGAGCAAGGCAGAGGAACCATGGGGTGGCTAGCTAGCTAATTTTTGTCTCATTTGTAGTGCACGGCAAGGAGGTGCTGGGCAAATGTTCTGCTTGCAAATCTATAATGAAATAGGGTTAAATAAATCAATGTATGGGAAACACTGGGTGACTGTATGAATTGCATGCATATGCCCGTCATCATCTGGTGAGGGGGCTTAGAACAGAGGAGAGAGCTGCATGAGAAGGGTGTACTTTTAAATTTTGATGTTTTTTTTTTTTCTTTTCCAGATTCCTGCTTACCCCAGCTTTATGTAAATACATCTTGCTTGACCTGATAAACATCAGTACAGACCAGGTATCCAGCGCACAGAAATTGTCATGGCACTTTGGAGCACCTTTGAAAACTGGCAGCTGAATGAAGTTAATCAGACTGGAAATTGTATGTCAAATTTTTGGCAATTTCCTGCTGGGGCTGAGCTAGCAGCACCTATGAGGCTTAAACCTGAGAAAAAAAAATGAAGAATGACGATTGAATGTGCAGTATTGTAAAAAAGGTGCAGTCTTGTCAAGCTACTTGAATTTATTTCAGTCAATGTAAACAGTCTAAATGCACTGACACTGAAGTTGCCCCTCCCTGTATATACACAGCACGTCCAGGTCCATTTTTTCAATCATTGTCAACAGATTTCCATCACTTTTTTTCCTCTACTTATAGACTGTTTTCTCCAGGCTGGAAACCATTTCTGTTTTCTCTCTCTGGCTGGCTGACCACTTTAGCTCAACAGCAGTAACACAAGAAACTGTTTCTTCCAAGCTAAAGCCAAAACCAATGGCCTCTAAGCTCCATGCATCAGTATCGACCCAAAGTTCTACTAAATGTTAGTTCAAATACAGAGATGTAAATGTGTTGCTATACAGTGTCAGCATGAATTCTGTATGTGACAAGCTGAAATCAGATGAAACAGAATTGAGCAACTGGCAACAAAGAACTGCAGTCATCCAGAGCTTAAGAGGATAACATAACTTTCACACATTCATCTTCCTTCCAGTATCCAGGTCAGGCTTCTGCACATGCATTCTTGCAGGTTCAACACAATGGACTAACAGTTACATAATGTTCTGTTTTGATAGGGCCAGTGCCACACCCAGAGAACTCCCTGGACCTGAACAACATTGCAGACAGAATGAAATCAAAACACACTACTGTATCCGAGATCACATCATCACTTAACAGTCATCATAGTTCCTGTTTTATTGCATTCTCTGAGGCAACACCCTAATTTTTTCATTAACTTTAATCAGAATGTTGACAGCAAAGTGTTGATGGATGGCAGTGTACCCACCCAAACTGGGTGGGTCAGTAAAGAATTCAATAATGTGGATTATTTTTTGTGCCATTTGGGTGGTTTCCCAATGAGAAGTTTGACTATACTCCTCTGAGAGGTACAACTAAAACGACAAACAAAAACTATTTTTTCAATTCAGATAATTATTTAATCATAGCTTTGTGACATAAGACTAGTAAAAGACGTTTTTGTTTTCAGTGTGTGTTAAACAAAAGACTTGGTGGAGATTTTGGGTTTGCCTAATTATACCAATAAAACAGGAGACTGAAGGTTAAGGCAATTATATGTCAATGGATGCCCTCAAAAAAAACTTGTCATAACTGGAAATTAAAAAAACGGTGCTTATTATGGCAATTAAAAGAGCATTCTGCAGGCAAACTCTAAAAACTGGTCCATCACTTTCATGCAATGTGTTGTAACCACTTGGTATAATTAGACAGCTTTACAAAACTCACATTTCCTGATTCCACATTAGTAATTACCTTACTCAATATGGTGCTCAAACACATGCCACAAATACATTGGTTAACATCCTAATGCTATATTAGAATGCAACTTAACTTCGCTAAATTTAACACCCACAGCCACAGTGTTCTCAGTACAAAAATCTGTTATTCATACACTAATCTCCCAATTATGAAATGTTAAATAACAACTAATGTTTTAAGGGCTCTCATTTGTCCTCTAGTGATTGTCAACCCAAACATACTCTAATCTGACGTCTTTGAACGACACTCGCTGTAACTTGAATATGATGAGCACACATTTCCACTCATAATTCTGCCAATATATGTGGAATATTCCGCCACACTGTTTTTGGGAACTTGCTCAATAACTGGTTCAACTGGTCCAACGATAGCAATCTCAGCAGGAAGACGTTGAAGTAAACACCCACTCCGTCAGTTACCCTCGTTGTCACACAGATACTATAGGGACAGGTGTGCGACTGACGTGACGTGACATGACATTAATAACTAGCTGCACTGATTTTTTTTAGTCTCTTTTACCACACTGGAGGGAACACCAACCTGTGCGCCACAACAGCTTGTCCGTTCATCATCAGGGCCATGATATAATATGATCCATCCTTATTCTCCCAATGGAAACACAGGTAAGGAACAATATTTCGGATAGAGTTGCCCTTTCATTTTATAAAACTGATACTTTTCGTGTACTAGAATTTTTAAAAATTGACTATCCTGCATTTTTCACCTTTGCTGTGAAAGAATACGCTGGTGTCAGTTGTTTCTGGGTAGCATGCATTTTGACTTGCAGAAGCTTTTTTTTTTCTAATATTCTGTTTAAAAAGAAAAAGCAGGGAGTGAAGTGTTTGCTTTATTTTGAAAAGCACTGTCATATTTACATCATTAAATTCATGTTTAAAAAACATGTATTTAATGATAGTAACATGATTATTATAAATGAACAATAGTAAGTGATAAAAAAAAAACATAACTATATGAAAGTAACACAAATTCTGAATTAAACCAAAAAACAACTGGCATAAATAGATATTGATTGAAACAGATATTTAAAGTGTGATACTGACATGCCAGTTTACATCATAACAATATTAGAAAATAATGGAAGCTAGGGAATAGGGAGTGCAATGGTGCCGTTTTTGAGTCTCATATCAATGGTCTGTTGTCTCAAGGGACACAGTTGACTCTACTGAGGCAAGTACAAACGTGATAAAATGCTGATATATGGTCGAAAACCTATATGTGCTTGACAATCATCAGTCAAGATGATGTGACCTCGAAACAGTGAGGCATTGTCACCAGAGAATCTTACGTCTTGCGGCATGTTTGGTCAAGTAGAGCTGTGCATCATATTCCAGATTAAGTTAAAAAAAAAAGTTGTAATATGATCATGAAATACCTGAATATTACACATTAGTCTGGATAATCAGTTGAAAATCTCTCTTTTTTCTCTGTTCTTGTTCTCAGGCACGTATGGAAATGGCACGCAGAGAGATCCGAGAGGAGAGAACCAAAGAGCCGGTGGAGGAGCTCACAGAGGAGCAGTTTCTTAAAGACCTCTACCTGTTCATGAAGAAGAGAGATACACCCATAGAGAGGATCCCAAATCTGGGCTTCAAACAAAGTAATTATAAATATGATTCATTTCATCACATTTTGAGACATAAGCTGTTTTAATGTATTGCACTTGTTTTATGCACCAAAAAGTTAATTAATGCAAAATAATCAATAATAATAATTCTCAAAGGTGAGAATTTGCTGTCATTGTAAACTGAATCTTTGGGTGTATTGACTGTTGGTCAGACACAACAAACTATTTGAAGAACTACTGTTTTGTGACATTTTATGGAACAATTAATCAATTAGTTGAGAAAATAATGTGTAGATTAATCAATAATGAAAATTCAAATAGCCCCACATTCTAGTAAGAAGTGTATGTGATTTTGTATGTATTTACTTGTTTTTCAGTTGACCTGTTTCTGATGTTCAAGGTTGTCAGAGACTTGGGTGGCTACCACCAGGTAATCAAATATTTCCACTTTACATATTATATCTCATACTGTAGGTATCATTTCTATTGTTAATATTACTAACAGTATATTCAATTTTGATGACAGTGAAATGATTATTTATTTAGTCATTTTTCTTCATTGTTGTTGTCAAAACTAATGCTATCACTCTACTTATAATATTGTAGATTATGAAGTCCCATTAGTAAAAGCCTTTGAAATACCATGCACTCTTCCAGGTGACAGCTCAGCAGCTGTGGAAACAAGTGTATAACACACTTGGAGGAAACCCACGAAGCACAAGTGCAGCCACCTGCACCCGCAGACACTATGAAAAGTGAGTTTAACAAACCATGTGGCTGACAGTGTGATTGTTTGTTTTCCTAACAGACTAATCTGATCCATGTGTTTCTTTGTGCAGGCTGCTCCTGCCATACGAATGCCACCTGACAGGCGTATTGGTGAATGTGTTGCCTCGTAATCCGCCAAAGCACTTCCACTTTTCCAACTACAGCAAAGAGCATGTTGATGGCCAGAGGCCAGCTAAACGCAAAATGATATCAATACCTCTGCACCAGGTTGGTATTATTTTACACACATGCAAGATACAGAGGGCATAACAGAGTTGCTCAACACAAATTAAGACTGATGTGATAGTGTTTAAATAAATGTTCTTTATTACGATAAGCAGTAAATAATTACATCCTTAAATGGCTGTTTGGGTATTAAACACACATCAGCTGGTATAATTTCAACACAATAATCATGATAAGCAGTTTATTCTCATAAATAGTCTGGTTCTGTTGCAACAAAAAAACTTCCCAATATTTGCATATTCCCAGTTAGTTGGACCTTTTTCTTTTATAGTGCATTGAACAATACATTAAAAAGAAATATGCTTATTTGATGAATATGTAGCTGGAGCCAGCATGTGATTAGCCTAGCTTAGCATAACAACTGGAAAGAGAGTGAAAAAGCTAGCCATGCTATCAAAGGTAACAAATGCACCTACAGGCACCCCTAAAGTTTAATAGTTAACAGGGTTGGGGAGTGATGGAATACATTATAGGGGTGCTGAGTAGCTCACCTGGTAGAGCAGGCGCTCCATGTATAAAGTCTAAGTCCTTGCCACAGTGTCCACAGGCTTGATGCCGACCCACGGCCCCTTGCTGCATGCCATCCCCTCTCTCCCTCCCACCTTACACATTCATGAAGTAATCTTTAAAATACAAAATATGAACAACTAGTCAATGTCTTTAAAAGTAGATTACTTAAAGGGAGTACTTTATTTGTTTTTGTTTTATTTGCTCTAACACCACTCCAGCAAGCATTGGCTTAATTGTATTATTTTGTACTGCAATGTTTTCACTGAATGTAAGTGACATAGCGCTGCCACTTTGAGCTGAACTTTTCCTGTGGCTCGCTTTGAGAGCTCCAAAAAACACAAACTCAGCTGATCCATTAAGTTGGAAAAAGGGGATATAGATACATAACACCTCTTCATTTAAATACAAATCCTGAATGAGGTAGCAGCTGGCGGAAAGTTTCTGGTAAATGATAATCGCTGGTAACAACCTAGTTGTCATTTCCAGCATAAAATGTGTGTTTTCTAAAAAAACAACAAAAAGTACAAACACAGAAAGATAGCAGGTACTCGCTCATCTTTTAAATGGTTACAATTTCAGTCGAGTGCTCAGCTGATGTTAGCAGTCTGATGGAACACATAATAAATTTAATTTTAGGGTATGTATTTAGTAATCTGTAGTTGGATAGGTTTTAAAAGTAACCCTTCTAACACATGTCACCATGGATATATACAGACAACGTTGGAGGAGGGGCCCTGTTCTTTCCTATGAAAGTTGCATGAAGCCAAAAAGGTTCAACTGCCGCATATAGTATTACTCAGATGATCGGAACTGCTTTGGCACTGTGTGGCCCACAAAGCAGGCGCACTAGAGACTTCAACAGGCTGAGCCGGCTACTTCAGGTTTAGCACTCTACCTTGTATGATGATAAAGTGATTCAGCTGTGCAGCTCTTCTTGACTTTCCAAATGTGATCGGACCGATTGGATTAAATTCTGATAGTAAAACAAATCATTCCACAGGGGTTATGATGCTAAAAAAAAGTAGCTACTGATTTACTGAAGTCTCTTTTCCTATGTAAGTCTATGGGAAATGTCTTTTTGAGCCATAGGGCATTATGTGACGGATGTAATACATTGTTTGGCTGCTATGAAAATTGGCTTCCGATCCTGGCACACTTCCAAGGTCCCTGGTTGTATCTCTTTGTTTATTCTGTACAGTCTTAAAATCAGCAGTTCAACCTCCTGGGGTCTCTGCTGTTTGCATGACAACTGCTCCTTGGCAAGAAATAGTCGAGCACATAACCTCCCTTAAACCTACAACCTGCTGGCTGCAGTTTCATATTTAGCGTACAGACATGAGAGTGGTATCAATCTTTTTATCAAACTCTAGGCAAAGAAAGCAAATAAGGATATTCCCCAAAATGTTTAACTGTTCCTTCAGCCTCTGACTGGTCACTTGTCTTTTCAACAGAACCACCATAACCTCCAGTCAGACCCACGTGAGAATGTCTTCCCTCTGCAGCTCCACTACCCTCACTACTATCACCCAAGCCATGCAGTTCTGCCCCCACATGTCCCTATGTCCTCCTCAGTGCTGACACCGCATAGCCCACCTGCCTCCAAACCCTGGTTCACAATCCCTCCATCTCATCTAAACCCAACAGACAGGGTTAAGGAGCCACTGGAGCAGCTGCGATTCCTGGCAGAACAGTACAAGACCACATCTGGATTGACTGAGCCTCTGAACCTCAGCATTAAAGCATCAAGGCAGGAAACCAACAGCAACCCCACCTCATCGTTCACCCCAACTTCATCCGGCAAGAACCCAAAGTTTTTAAATAAACCCTCGCCTCTGTACACTCCTCATCGATCACAGGTGATGACAGACGATGGATGTGAGACACAAGGTGGTGATTCTGGTTTAGGAGATGCAGGGTATCCTGCAAGAGCTAAGGAGGTATATATTGTCGATGGCAAAGCTCCAACAGCTTCCAGCAGCCCCACATATGACTCTGCTCAGACACTGAGAACGGAGAAAGGCGCCACCACAATGGCACTAAAACCCAGCTCTCCAAAAACAGACTTTACAATCCGGCCAGAAGATGAGAGAGAGGGGAGTCCAGAAGTCAGGGAGCTCAGTGTCAGTCACATCCTGCCCAGCCTCCCTCGAGAGAACGGAGGCAAGATGGAAATCGAGGTACCGCTGTCTGTGTTTCATAACTGGCTCAGGCTGTGTGGATCCTCAGCCTTGATGCATGAAGCTAAGCAGCTATCTGCACTTCCTCCTCAGGAGGAACACCCTGGGCAAAGAAATCGTTCTGACACAGACGTCCTCCCTACCAACCTGACATTTCACATCAATCATCACGACCAGAGCTCAGCCGCTGAAGATCTGCGGCTGATGCAAAGGAATTTGCCAAGCCCCATACCAACCAGCCAGTTTACCGGTTATCAACACAATACATGCCAAAATAATATCTCCACCTACAAGCCTTTGCCTTCAGGTGGTATTCTGAAAAGCGCAGCCAGCTGGGATGTCTATCCGGTTGATCAGCAGGATAATAATAACTCATACAGCCCCAGAGCCCCAAGTTGCTGGGATGCCTATGACAAAGAGTCCCAGACTTCCCTTATCCAAGTGAACATTAACTCAAGTCCCTGCTCAGTTCAGCAAGACTTTGATAATGAAGACACAATCCAGGCAGAGAAGGAGAAGTCAGGCACGGGTCAATCAGCTGTACTAATGCTGAATCCCAGCTCCAACTCCCTGTTGCACTTCACAACTGAAGAGGTGATGAAGCTGAAGAAAATCATCTCCAGCTCATAGTGAAAATCAGTTCAGATAATCACACTGACACTCCAACACCACATTAAAGCTTACTCACGTTACATTGCTCTTTCATTTACTGTATGTTACTGAAGTTGTATGATCTGGTATATATTACATTCAGTTGTTACTCAATGCAAGTGTCAAATTAACAAAAATTCCAATCCAAAACAAACAGTTCATTCACATCAGAAGCAGAGCTTGATGTAGGAGAATGTTCACCATTTTTGGTTTTGTTTTTACGCTTTTACTGTACTGAAATATTACTTGTATATTACAGTAAATACTTTAATTGTAATGTAAATATAAATAAATTTAAAGTTTTGAAGTTTCATGACTCATTTGTTGATTGCGTGATCCTTGGTGTCATGCTATGTGTTTTCATCTTAATCATTCAAAAAATAGCTTTTTATCCAGGTTATCTATCCATTCCTTTTGAGAGTTATAAGGCTGGAGAAGGTGTAACGAGCGAAACAGCAATTACTGCATTCGTATGCCTTGTTAAATAGAAAAATTACACCTTACAAAGAGGTAGTGTTATTTAAGAGAGGGTGTGGTCGTTATTGTCGTAACATCTATGTAATTTTATTCACTCCTTTAAAGGGTGTCCACACCTGTGCAATTACACAGTTCCTTCACCAATCAAATGTCCAATAACAAACAAATAAACAGTGCAATACTATTTATAGCTTCCTGTGTGGACCGAATGCTTTGTAAATATTTCATTTGCCACTAGAAGGGAGCATTGTCAGATTTCTTTGTTTAAAAAGCATGGAGACATTTTGCTTTTTGTTGTGGCCTTTTTCTCAGCATTCAATGACGTACATATTCGGTATGAGAAATGAGACACGAGAAAACAGTTACGTCAAAAGGAGATACCTTAATTCTGCTTCAGTAAGCTTTGGTTTTATTTGTCTGTCATACCTGCATGCTTGAAGCTTACATGTGCAGCCTACTATTATGTTATTGTTATTGCTTTAATTATTATTCTCAGATTCTATGCGTAATGTGTGGAATCTTCAGCTGTGACAACAACAAATAGAACCACCACTCCCATCACTGTAACTATAGACACTGGTAATTGCGTGCAAATTGCTCATCACCTAACACCATTACAGTCCTGTGATAACTATTATGGTTCATTGTCCTGAAAATGCATTACATTTGAATAGGACTTTAGACCATTCACAAAGGGAATCATGTTGAATGAGGCACCAGTTTACAGGCTAATTCCACTTTTGTCCTGGGTTTGTTTTGTTCACCTGTTAACCTGCTCTTTATTATGAGGTTAAAAAAAAAAAGCCAGGAGGAGAAAGAGATAGTGGTGATTGTGGAAAATCCAGTGTGAACATGTTTAGGCAAGTGTTTAACTGTTGCTTCACTGCAGATTATTGCTTAACTCAGAAGCGTCTTTGTGTGGGCTGTTGATTTAAAAAAAAAAGAAAATTAAAAGTGAAAGAAAAAAGTTACACTATGCCTAAAGCATTTCAGTTCCACAAGTCAGTGAGAGGAATTTAATGAGCAGGTGTCTGGCCCCTATGTAGGCCTAGGAAGCCCTCAGGCGTTGCACAGTATAGTGCTTGCGTGTTGCAAATATCGTCTATAAGGAATAATAATCCAATGGAATTCATGCTCTTAAAAGACCGAGGTCACAGACCAGCATTTCTAAGCATCATTAGATACGAGATCTGAATTACTGGCTCAAGTTTAAAGTAAAGTTACTCAAATTGAGAATCATTCTCTAAAAATTTTGTAGCACTCCATATATGGCACTGTATGTCTATGGAGTTATTAGTAATTTGAAATACATAAGAAAATGAAAAACACTGGATTGTGTGTTCAACCCCTTTAATGTTTCTGCATTTTTGCTATTAAAAATGTCCCACAGTGGACTAGCTCTTTACTCTTGCAGGGCTGCTAGAGGGGTCATGGGAGTTTGCCCATCCAGTCCACATGTGTTTTGTGGACTTGAAGACAGCTAATGACCGTGTCCCATTGGGAGTCTTGTGGGTATTGCGGGAATATGAGGCACTTGGGTTGTTGATACGAGCCATCTGGTCCTTGTGCAATAAAAGTGATAGCTGTGTCCACATACTCGGCACAAAGTCACATACGTTTCCAGTGGGTGTTGGCCTCCACAAGGGTTGTCTCTCATCACCGTTTCTGTTTGTGATATTCATGGACAGGATCTCAAGGTGCAGCCAGGGGAAGGAAGGGGTCTAGTTTGGGAACCTCATAATTGCGTCTCTGCTTTTTGCAGATGATGTGGCTTTGTTGGCTTTCTCACATTGTGACCTGCAGCATGCACTGGAGCAGTTTGCAGCTAAGTGTGAAATGATTAGGATAAGAGTCAGCAACTCTGAGTAAGTCTGAGACCATTGGACTCTGCTGCAAAACGGTGGATTGCCCCCTCTGGGTTGGAAGAGTTACTGCCCAAAGCAAAAGAATTCAAGTATTTTTGGTCCTTGTTCACAAATGAGGGTAAAATGAAGCGTGAGATGGACAGCTGGGTTGGCGCAGCATCAGCAGTGATGCAGGCACTGCGCCGGACCGTCGTGGTGAAGAGCAAGTTGGGCCAGAGGGAATAGTTTTCGATTTACTGGTCCATCTACGTTCCAAGCCTTACTTATGGCCATAAGCTCTGGGTACTGACTCAAAGAGTTTGTGGATGAGATTGCGGACACAAGCAGCTGAAATGACTTTCCTCTGTAGGGTGGCTGGGCTCAGCCCCAGGGATAAAGTGAGGAGCTCAGGTATCTGGAGGGAGCTCAGAGTTGAGCCACTGCTCCTTCAAGTCGAAAGGGGCCAGTTGAAGTGGTTCAGACATCTGATCAGGATTCCTCCTGGGTGCCTCCTGTTAGAGGTTTTCCAGGCACATCTGACTAGTTGGAGGCCCCAGGGAGGACCCAGAACATACTGGAGGGACTATATATCTCATCTGACCTGGGAACGCCTCGGGATCCCCTAGGAGGAGCTGTGAAGTGTACCTGGGGAGAGGGACGCCTGTAGTACTTTGCTCAGCCTGCTTTTCCCGCAACCCCGGCCCTGGATAAGCAGGTGAAAATGGATGGATGGATGGATGGATGGATGGATGGATGGATGGATGGATGGATGGGTTGATTGATTTTCGGATCATTTTTTGAGTGTCACAACCCCTGTGAAATAACTGTTTCATTATCAGAATTTGATCCATTAAGTCCAATAACATTTCTAAAGTCTTGATGATCTGCACAATAACATAATTTTACCCCTATTCAGGTTAGGCTAAACTGAAAGTTAGCCACTTGGCAGAAGACTCTAGTGTGGTTGCTCTATGGGCCCCATGAGGCAAAGGATCTGGGTAATTTTATACCCAGAGAGGTGGAGGGTTTAGGGCTTCGTGCGCCAGTGAGCAACACAACACTGTATAAGTGGTCTATACAGACTACCCCTGATAACTGAACTCAAGCAATGTGTTGCTAGTGGACTGAATCTAGACATGGCAGTGTGCTGGTATTTCACTTTTATCCTTGTTATGGACTGAAGATTCAAAAGATTCATCGAACCTAAACCTAAGTTGATGCTTTTTAAATCCTTCATCTTGCTTTACATATGCAGGAAAGTGTCTGTGTGTCAGATAAACCCCAGGAGGTTAGATATACCATATCAAGTTTGTATAGTTTCCAGATGGCATGGCCATAAGATAGTCAATGTCCACCATGTTGGCATAAACTTACTGGTGGACACTCGAAAGGGTGCTGTCAATTAAAATAAGGTTGTCCTGTGGGAACATTTGCCTCATGACTCACCACAGAGGTGCAAGTAGATCAAACTGCTTCTGTGGTTTCAGTCAAGCTGCAACCTGTGGTGCTGAAAGAATGAAGCCAGGGTGCAAGTGCCAAAAACTGTACTTCCTGAAATGGCCGCTCAAGGCTGGCTTCAAGAGCGAGTCAGTTCCCATGGACTGCCACGTTAAAATGCCCAACATAAACATGTTCACAGCGTGGTGCAAAAATACTGTTTTGGTCTCTATAGCTACTTTCAACATTCATGGCAGCTGTGTACTTCACCCTTTCACATTTTATCAAGGCTTTAAAGTAACACATAATTAAGGGCAGGGTCACCTGAGTGACAGGCTGTCTGCTACCGAAAACATTAAAATACTTGCATTTATAAGTTGTCTACTGTTTGTCCCTGTATTAAATGCATTTTCAATCAGTTTCAGAGAGAAAAGCATGTTGGCTTTTGTAGTGGCTTTATCACACACTCAAATAGCAACACATTACTGGCAGAATAGTCTCTAATTTGTCAATGCAGATGTCTTCCAAACATTTGGCAAATTCAGTGAAAAATCATCACATCGGCATACTGGAACTGATTAAGAGTCAACAGAGTAACTGCTGGAGGCCTCTTAGTATATGTACTGGTCTCTCTTTACATGTACAAAATATACAATATTGCTAGACAATAATACAGTGACATTATTATGCATTTAAAATGACCATACAGTCAGTTTGAGGTTGGTATATCAGACTTTCACTCTTTTTTGTTTTTATTATAATTGCTGGGTAAGTAAACAGTTAAAAGTCAGAGCAGCAGAGAGGTAGAAGAATGGAAAAATAACCAATATTAACACTAAGTTTGGAAATGTCCTCTGCAGATTTTGAAACAGCACCATTTATCATGTCCATGCCCATTTCCATGACCAGGCGTGGTAACCACAAACAAAATAAGAAGAGTTTCTCACTCCTCCAGTGCAACCGTGGTAGGGTCATCAATAACTGTAAGAAAGAGAGAGAGAAACACAGAAAACTGTAGTACAGAGTTTAAAAAAGATGCAGGTGTTTTCAAATAGCATTGAATAAACCTTACTTTACCAGTTCTAATCTGTTTATGATTTGTGGCTAATTGCCCATGACAAATTAATTGCAAAGCAGATATATTGCAATGAAAACGGTTTTTGTGTAACACACCAGCATGTTTACACCCAGATTAACATTCCAGCCTGACAGTTGAAACTATTTAAGTGTGTATCAGTTAAAACCACAGCTGAGCTGTGAGGTTGCCAACCTCATTTGGGCATTGGTTGGTATGAGGATATACTCCTCTTACGTAAAGGAACTGACAAAAACATTATTTGTCAGCTGACTGTGACAAGGATATTATTATACTGGTTGGCCTCATTTGCCTTCAGACAGGAGGAAATGCAGTTCAGTATGTAGTTCACATTTGTTTTTGAGCATCTGCTCACTAACCAAACTTGTATACAACAATAGTGCCTTGATTACACAAC